CACATTCCTCTGTGATAGGTCAGAGTTCACTGTGTTGATTCAGTGTCTTGTTTGGGCTTCTGCTGCTGAAAGTGTATAAGGACCAAAAGGTGATGGAGAATAGCCAGCTATAAAGATGCTAATACTTCTGAGACTCATAAGTTCAAGGATTCATTTGAGTTACAAACCTCTGTGACTGAAAAAGTTAACTGAAATTATGAGCTAAGATGTTTCTACTCTCTCTAGAAAATATGATGACATTCACTTCACCATTCATTAGAGGCTGGTATTCCAAGAAACGCCACAAATTAGTTGATGTCCTCTTAAGATGCCTAGAGAATCTCTTGAAAATAAGACTTCCTCATTGAGGAAAGCTTCCTGGAGAGATACAGCTGAAGGAACAGTATCTTTACAATGTACAATGTACTCAATTATATAAGTTGGTATGGGGTCTGTTCCTGTGTTTTGCTTAGGTGATCATCAATACTATCTTGATTCTGTGAGGATTCAGGTTCTCTTTAATTCACACTGTATCCAGGGTAGTTGGGATGGGATATTATTTTAGGATTAGTCCTTGTGGACCAAGTTGGAGTCTGTGTAGTTGCTTAGACATATCACAATGCCTAGACGAATGCTTTGGAGCAAGTGAGAAAGTTAATAGATAAATTTGAAGGACAGCTAGCCTTCTAAGGTATGTCCTCAGAGTTCTTTAAGATTTCTCAGCTTGATGAAGCTAATGCTCTGGGAGTCACCTTTGTGGTCAGTAGTGGCCCCATCATGGTGTTAGAAGTCCTGTTCTTAATTTATGCTGTATGAAAGGAAATAATGTAGTCATAGATAAATGACAGAATTTAACAAATACCAGAGATTACACATGGTCTACATTTTACCCTTAGCCCCGGATTTGGCTAATGCTGCATTTCCCTTTAGAAGAGTTTACATATCTGTTTCAACAGGACACATTTCTAAAGGGAACATTGTAAAGTGGAATCAAAACATACACCACAGCATGTTTTCTCTCTGTAAAGTTCTGGCTCTTTAAAAATATATCCCTAGTATCTTTAAGTAGTTGTATGGAGGAGGAGCCATAAAATGAAGCAGTTTATGAATGCACTGTGTCTTAATCAATGTTACTTCTTTCAACATTCTAACCTCCCTGACAATCTACTCCTTCCCTTACTTTTGTTATTTTTGTAGGATATACATTGAATTCTTGACTGCTTCCCCCTTCCCCTCCCCCCCCACTGCCCAAGTTATACCTCTCCATGTGTTAAAAGCCACCTAAAAATCTGGTGAATCAATTGTCACATGCATTCTATGATCTGAATTTTCTTGAAATATTTCTATGCTTGAAAATGAAATGATTATATTGCCTTGGTAATTCTGTCTTCACTGCGGCAAGATATTCCTTAGATACAATAAAGACATACAGTTGAAAGACAAAATCTGGGCATTTTCTTTTTTTGGCGGGGGGGGGGGTCCGGTCATGGGGCCTGAACTCTGGGCCTGGGCACTGTCCCTCAGCTCTTCAGCTCAAGGCTAGCGCTCTACCACTCTTGAGCCACAGTGCCACTTCCAGCTTTTTTTTTTTTTTTTTTTTTTTGCTTATGTGGTGCTGAGGAATCGAACCCAGGGCCTCATAAATGCAAGGCAAGCACTCTACCACTGAGCCACCTTCCCAGCCCCCTGGGCATTTTCTTTTATCAAAGTAGTCTCAATTATAATCAGCCTACTTTGTATTTCTAGGTTCATTTTGCTCTATTTCCATTGAAATAATTAATTTCCCTATGAAGATGTTTTTCTTTCATTGCCATTGTTTTTTAAGACAGTCTTTACTTTTTCTTTTTAAGGATTAGAAAAGTAATAAAGATACTTGAGAGGCAGAGATGGGAAACATAATTTCAAATCCAGTCTGGGCAAAATTATCAAGACTCTCTCTCAGAAATAAAACACACACACAAATGCTGTGCATATGGTTTAAGGAGTAGAGGTACTTTTCTCACATGAGAATGATCCTGGATTCAATTTCAGGTACAGGGAAGAAAGGGAAATTCAGAGTAAGTAGAGAATAAAAAGTCCAAGTCTCCTGTTGCTCATGTACTAACCTTTTCTTCATACTTTTGCAAAATTCCAGTTTCCCTACATATATTTATAATTGATTGGCTTTTTCTTGTTGTGATTTTTTCCCTCTTTCCCTGTAGGAGAGAACAAAGTGATTTCCACACTACTAGAATTATAACATATCCTTTTGGAGGGGCAGTACTGGAATTTGAGCTCTACCACTTTGAACCATGGCTCCAGCCATTTTGCTTCAATTATTTTTCAAATAGGGTTTCAAATGTTTTGCCAGAACTTGTCTTCTACTTACCTATCAACTTGTGCTTTGAGTTAGAGACTTTAACTCTAAGGGTAAAGGAGGGCAGAGGGCTGGATTATAGGATAGATCTATTAGTTTTTTGAGGAGCCTCCATACTGATTTCCATAGTAGTTGTATTTGTCTACATAGTCACCAATGTTGTTCTTTGTGGTTTTGGTGATGCCCATTCTGATATGAATGAAACAGAATTTCAAAGTTTTGGTTTGCAGTTGATTTTGTTTAAATAAATGTTGAGCATTTATTCCTGTATTTATTAACATAGTTTTTTTTACTGAGTTCATTCTTTGGAAGTTCAGTTTTTTGAGTGCCATATCTATTGTCGGTATGAATCCCTTATCAGATTTACAGCTGGCAATTATTATTGTTATTACTACTACTATTATTATTATTTTGCCTGTAATGACAACATTCTTTGCTAGGAATAACCTTTTAAGCTTGAAGACATCTCATTTATTAATCATTATGTCAGTGTATTGAGCTGATTTGTTGAGCTACTGCAGATCTACCCAGGAAGTCAGTGCCTATGCCAAAAGTTGCAGTATTTTTTCCATTCTTTACTGTAGTACATCTGACTTTAAGATGTCTGACACACTTTGGCATTTTTTTCGGTTGTTGTTGTTGTTTTTTGAGGAGGGGGCTTGAACTTATGGTTTGGATGCTATTCCTGAGCTCATTTTGCTCAAGGCTATCACTCTACCATTTGAGCCACAGTATCACTTCCAGTTTTCTTGTGGTTAACTGAGGATAAGAGTCTCATGGACTTTCTTGTCCAAGCTGTCTTTGAATCATGATTCTTAAATCTCAAGCCTCCTGATAGGGTCTGACCCACTTTGGATTGATATTAATACAGGTAAGGATCTAGTTGCAGTCTTCTGCATGGAGATACTCAGTTTTCCCAGCATCATTTATTCAAGAGACTATCTTTACTCCACTATATATTTGGGGATTTTGTGTGTGTGTGTGTGTGTGTGCCAAAAATCAGAAAGCTGCTCTTGTAGCACAAGTTTATTTCTGGCTCTTCTAATTGTATTGGTCTTAATACTTGGTTCTGTGCCAGTACTTTTCTATTTTTTTTTTTTTTACTATGGCTCTGTAGTATAATTTGAAGTATTTCCTTTTTTTGATGATTATTTTTGCTATTAGGGGCCATTTGTGCAACCATATCAATTTTAGGATTAATTTTTCTATATCTCATTGGGATTTTGAAGAGTATTTCATTAAATATGTAGGTTATTCTTGGCAATATGGACATTTTCATTATATTTATTCTGCCAATAAATGAACATGGGGGTTTCTGTCTATTGTCTTCCACTTTTTTCTTCAAATGTCTCCATTTTTTCTTGCTTTGCAAAGGTCTTTCACTTCTCTGGCTAGGTTTATTGCTACATTTTATTTATTTTTGAAGTGACTGCTTGTGGTATTGTTCTAATTTCCCTCTCTTTTTGTTCATTGTTGGTGTAAGGATTTTTGTGTATTGATTTCATTACCTAATATATTGCCAAAGGTGTTTATCATATTTAGGAGTTTTGGGGTAAAATATTTAGGTTCCTTTGGAAATAGGATGATATCATTTACATTTTTTCATTGTATTTTTCTGGATAGGAATTCTGTTAGTATATTATACTAGTTTCAAACAATTGGGTTTAGTAATAATTTTTCCCTTTCTATTTCATGGAAAAGTTTGAGGAGTACTAATGTTAGTTCTTCAAAAGCCTTATAGAACTCAGCCACTGGATTCTGGGTTTTACTTTATTGGGAAATTAATATTTCAAACTCATTGCTTGTTATTGGTCTATGTAGGTGATTACCATCCTCTTAGTTCAATTTTGCTAAATTGAGTCTAGAAATATGTCCATTCTTATTAGATTTTCCAGTTCATTTGAATAAAAGCTTTCAAAGTATTCCTGTATGATATTCTGAATTTTACTTGTATTTGTTGTGACATCTCCATTTTCATCTCTAATTTTATTTATTTGAATTATTTCCCTTCTCTTGTTGGTCATATTTGCAAAAGTTTATCAATTTTATTTAGCTTTTCTAAGAACCAGTTTTTTGTTTCATTCATTCTTTTTATATTGCTTTCGTATGCTTCACTGGTATCTTCCCTAATCTTTATTCTGTTGTTGTTTTGCAACATTGGCATTTGAACTCAGGGTCTCCTGCGTGCTCCTGCGTGCTAGGCAAATGTTTTACTACTGAGTGACAGCTCCACCCCCTTTTTTGCAATATTTTGACATAAGGTCTTGCTGTACGCCTGTACCTACACCTGGATCACAATCTTCTGTACTCTCCACTCAATCTGGGCTAATAGTAAATGCACCCAGCCATTGGTTGAGTAGGGGTCTCACAAATTTTCCCCTTGCCTTGAACCATAATCCTCCCAATCTCAGCTTCCTGAGTAGCTAGGCTTACAGGTCTCATAATCGTGGCTGGTTCCTGTTTGATTTTTGAGATAGTGTCTCATTCACTTCGTTGCTGGCCTCAAACTGTGATCCTTCCATTTTCCTTTTCTGTGTAGCTGGGACTACAAGCATACACAGTGAAGCCTGGCCTATAGTTAGCGTTCTATAATCTAAGTTAAAATGTTAAATCAGTTAAAATGTCTTCAAGTGTTTATAAAAAGAAATAAAAAAGAATGCATAGATGGTGGTTTAAATGAATCTAACTTTAATATCGTATTATTCTCTAAGATTCTAAGCGTTTTAAAAATTACTTCATTGAGTAAACTATTTATATTTATAATTTGGCAACAAAGGTCACTTTTCACAAAGACATTCCATATATAGCAATAAATCTTTCAAAATTCATTCATTATTTTCTTCCACTTCTTCAGGAAGCTTTGTAAGGATCCATGACTTCAGCTTTTCTAGCTCAGGTTTCCTTATTTCATGGTAATACTTCGGCAAAGTATGAAACTTCGTGCTTACTCCTAGATGTTTTAACATTGAATTTGTCTCTTCACCCCAGGAATAAAGAACTAGTTCATCCACAGTGCCATGACACTGAAATAACTCTGGTAGCACACCATTGTTTTTCTGAACAGCCTAGAAAAAAAGGAGGAAAAAGGAAAGGTTGAAGAAATTTGATTTAAGTTTGTTCTTAGAAAATGAAGAGCAGAAAAATTCAAATTTAGCCAAACTACAATAATTAAAGAGATCAGGTTGTGCCCTGTGAGGTAAATATTAGGAGGCAGGCTTGTGAACATCATTGGGTTTGGGCACCAGAGAGCTGTGGTTATGTGAACTATAAGCTCCAGGGTATAACCAAAGAGTAGTTCTCATGTCTGTAGCTGCTTTATCATTTATATTTCTGGGAATGAGGCTGAAATAATGTAATACATGTTCATCAATTTGCATGTTAATGTAAATTAAGTATCAATTTATACTTGAATTTTAATATTCTCATGACACAATAAACAAACCTACAAACAGTCATCTTTATTTTTGTGCTAGTGCTGAGGCTTAATCTTAAGGCCTTGTGCCATTACACGGACATTTCCCTCAAGGATGATTCTTGAGCCATGCCTCCAAGTTGAGTATTTTGTTGGTTAACTAGAGATAGAGTCACATAGACTATGTGTCCAGGCTGGCTTCAAACCATGATCATCCAGATCTCAGCCTTCTACATAGCTAGTATTACAGGTGTGAGCCACTAGCAAGTGGCTTTCAATTTTATCATTAGTATGTACTAAGTTTTCACAGATATAATACATATATACATACATAATACATATGTATGCACGTGTATTAGCTTTTTCCTCTTTAACAATGTTCTTTGCAGAAAGCACTTCCTGAACATTAATGACCACCTGGAACTCATTTGACAATGAAGTCCAAGGGTTGCTAAATTTATAGTAACTGTACCACAATTTTTATTGCTTAACTGTCAACTCTTTTTTAGTTTCAATGTATCTATAGTTTTCATGTAACCTTTTGCAGTTGTTTTTCACATCTGAAACTTACCTGGTAAACAGCAGAGAATTTATTCAGAAAACTAGAAAGGGCAAACACTCCTGCCACATCTTGATGAAATCTGTAGGCTAAATGCATTGCCATGCATCCTCCCATAGAAAATCCTCCTAAATGAAGCAAAAATGGGCTTAAACAAGCAGCAGGACATGTGTGATGATTCAAAGACTATATGCTAGTTTCTAACAAATAATTTTAAACTATTTTAGTCTTTTAAAGATATAGCTAGCTAAACAAAATTTAGTCTATTTTAGGTTTCATGGAGTAGGACTTACTATGGTGATATCATTGGTAAAAAGATTTGTGATATAGACGTATCAAGAAGGATATAATTCAAAATGAAAGTCATAATTATACTGACAGCATAATAGCATTATTTACTTGAACTTCAATGTCTATGTCTATGTCTATGTTAGCTTTATTCTTGGAGAAATCCTCCGGGTACCATTTCAGGTTATCCCATGCACCTTCTTGTCTTACTTGCCAACTACAGGTGTTTCTAGCTCTACCTGGTACCTATTGGTCACTGAATTAGGAAGGATGATAAAATAATTGATGAACTAGTTATGATATAACTATGACTTATGATATAATAAAATAAATTTACTTATAAAGGAATTCAGTGATATAGTTGGTATTTTTTTCCTTTTCTCATACCTTATTTGTGCCAGGCAAGCACCATAACTGACTATGCTCCAGTCCTTGGATTCTGAGACAGTTTTGCTGGGTAGCACTGGCTAGCCTCAAGCTCGTCCTTTTCCTCTCTTTGCCTCCTGAGTATCATAGTCTTTTATGTATCAAAAATACACTATTAACCAAAGATTAAAACACATGGACCTTCTGTTCAAGGGGACTTGGATGAGAAATCAGGAAACAATACAGAGATGAGTGTAATGTGACAGGAGCAGAGAAGCTGGTGATACCACATCTGACTACAGGCCAGAGGAGTGTAGTGATAGTTAGAAAATATCTATTTTATATTTCCTGAGAGAATAAATAAATATGAAAAATAAATCATGTGACCATGTACTCACAGAAACAGAAAAATATACTTTGGGGGCAATATCCAGGTCTCCTAATTTCCAACTTACAGTCTTCCTTCACTTAAAAGTATAAAGCTGAGCCCTTAGAGAATATAACTTTGAATCTACTATAATGATCTTCTTTCCCCTATAAGTAAAGGGAAATGGGGCCAAAGGAGATCAGATGGCCTGCCTAAAAGTTGTACCTCACATTTTGATTAAAAGCTAGGACTTCTGGAATTCAAATCGCTTAAAACAGAAATTTCATGTATTTTCTATCATCCTGACAGTTATTAAAGAAGATCTCTTTATCTGGGACAGGCAGATAATATTTAGGACCCAAGATACAACTATGAAAGAGACTATCCATTTATCAAGCGTAGAATTTTTAAAAGGGCATAAAGTGTAAATAATAACCATTATGCTAAGTACTCTAACTATAGTTTTCAACATTGCAGAACAAATTAACTGTCTCACCAAGTAGCCCATTAGGGAGTTTTGAAAAACATCATCAAGAGACTTTCCTCTCTAACACTTACAAGACTCAGTTTCAACTAATAAAAGTTCATCAATAAGCTTGGTGTGTAAAAGAGGAGCATCAACATCTTAAAAGTGTGTGTACATTGGTACAATGGGTTGACCTATATCCTTATTTAAGTATTTTGTTTTTTCCTTCCCCTCCCCAAATTAGAGAAGTGTATACAAGATGCAGGGCACCAACATCAAATACAGTGAGAACAGGGGTTATACCGTGGGGGAGGAACATACAAAGAAACAAAAAAACATCACATGGTACATTATAAATACATTAGAAACAATAGCAAGAAAGAAAAAAACCACTTGTGTCCCTATCTTGGGGTTCATTTTGCTTACATCGTTTTATCTGGTCATATGTTCATAGCTTTTGACCTTTTCTGCTTGTCCCAGACATATACTAGTTACTGCAAATAAGGGAAACCATAGGACCTATGTTTCTTTACTATGTTGAAAAATGAACTTTACAATTTAGTCTGGGCGGTGGGGGGGGGGTTGTAGCTGTGGAGGTGGGAGGAAAGGGATGGTAAGGGAAAAACAAAGGAGGAGGTAACAATAACAATGCTTGACAGGCAATGTACTCATTACCTTCCTCATGTAACTGTAACTCCTCTGTACAGTATTTTTAGAATAAAAAAGTATTTTTAAAAAGTGTGCGTACAATTTGTTCTTGTACATCAGATTTCCCCAAACTTAAAAGCGACTGAGCTGTATTACCTATAAATTGATGCAATTACAAACCTTTGATCAGTCACATTTGAATATTAAGAGCTCACCACAGAAAAGACTAGTATGGCTGGCAGTTAAAAATTTACATTCATCAACATGAGGAAGAATTCTAAGCTTTTATCTGTCTCTCCACTTCACCTCTAGACACCATTGCTTCCAAAGTTTTTCTGTGTAACATCACATGCGTTATCAGAAAACACAAATTTTGAACAAAGATGCTGATTATTAGTTCTTTGAATGTAAATGAGTTTTGTAGATCTCTTAAGGTTCTGTTCTTTAGTCTATGGCTAAGTTCTGACTGAGTGCATGTGACTAGCTGAGCCAGGTGTGTCTGCCCATGCGCTGGCCTCCTCTTTATGAGCCTAGTGGCAAGCACAGGGCACACCATAGGGTGACACCCATAAATTGTATTTAACTAATATTTTAGAAATCATAGATAACAGAATTAAAGTAATAAACAATAAAGCAGTATCTTATCTTCATACTATTGCTTACAAAGGTATAAACAACCCTTTTTCTTAAAAAAAAAAAAAAAAGCCCAGGACAGAACAACTGAATGTCTTACCATTTTAGAAAATAAAGATCCCCTAGGTTTAGAACAGTGCCTGGAACACATGAGGAGCTAAACAAATAGTTACTGGATAGACAAAATCAATGTGAAATAAAGTTTGGAAAATGTTTCTGTAAAAAGACAAATTTATCATCATAAAATGTACCTTTTATGTGGTCCGATCTAGTTAGAGCTTAGAAAAATCTAAAACTGAATAACTAGCTCCAGACCAATCATTCCTAATCTAGTTTCTTATGAAGAATTTTTAGACTCAGTTCTAGGCCCATTAACAAAAATCACTATTTTTTTAAAAGCTCTTATGTGTAAATCATATGTTCAAGAACCAAAACTGTGAAACAAATAATTCAAAATTAAGCACATTGAGTAAAAATAAATAGCAATAATGTGGTCATGATTTAAAACAAATATATATGCTACAGATACCAAAGCTGGTATCGGGGTTTATAGGCATGAAAAGTGATATCAGTAGTAGTAGTAGTAGTAGTAATAGTAGCAGTAGTAATAGTAGTACTGATTGTGGTAGTGGTACAGGGCCTGATGCTTACTTAGGAACTTTACCACTTAAGCTACTCCACCAGTCCTCTTTCAAGATAAAATTGCATTTTATGCCTGTGCCCTGCAAAGACTACAATTCTCCTACTTGTGCTTCGCTTTATTATTGGGATGGCAGGTATCTGACACTGTACGCACTATTGGTCAGGATGAAATTCTTTGAATTATTTTTATGCCCTGGCTCAACTCAAACCATTGATCTCTACCTCCCAATTAGCTAGGCTTACAAGTTTGGGCCAACAGACCCCATAAAGTTATTTTCTTAAGAAATTCAAGAACTTGAATTAGTTTGTGTCAAATATAGCTTGTGAATATTTAAAGTCTTGTTAATGTGACCAAAAAATTAAATTTTAACTTTTACTTAATTTTTAAGTTTAAAGTTGGCTATAAAGAACCACATGTAACTAATGGTTATCTTACTGAAATATGAAGTTATAAAGCATCTAAGTCCTACCTGTGACTTAAAAGCATTTTAAACTCCACCAATTCAGTTAAAATACACATTGAATATGAAGTTATTTTTAATGTTAGAAGTACTGAGGTTTGAACACAGGGCCTCAGACAGGTAGGTGCTTTACATTCTGAGCCATACAGCCACACCTGAAACCCTTTTTGCTTTAGTTTAAAATTTTCAAATGAATTTTTCAGCCACAGCCAGCTTGTTCTCTGAGATAGCATTTTGCTAACTTTTTGACCAGTCAGGCCTCAAATTGTGATACTGTTATCTCTACCTCCCTCCTCAATGGGTTTATAGACATGAAAAGTGATCGAAGGGTAAGTGTGAAGTCCAAATAAAGATCATTAAAAGATAAACCTAAATAAATAGGCAAAAAGATACTTTAAAATCTTATCTACCTGGAAAATTTGGCTGCTGAATGCTTCCAACACTTCATGTTTATTGACTCAGGAACCTAATCTCTGTACATGATTTCAGAGTCCCTTGACAGATCTAGCCTAACTTTAAAGAAACAAAAGAAAAATAAAAATTTTACCCACTTGAAATTTCCTTTGAAAACAGTAGCCCTGCCTTCTTATCAGTCCTACTAAGTAGGATTTTAAGCAAATGTAGTTAAATAAGTGAAAAGAAATTCTAAAACAAAGCCTTTGAATCACTATATATGCCTTGAACAACTTGGCTAATGCAGAGAAACTCTCAGTCAGTCCTGAGTTATCATCAGTTGTGTTTAAATCATTGTGTGTATATTGAGTTTTTCCTTATCCCTGATTTTGTGAAAACGTTCCTCCCAAAAGCAAACGGTGCCCTCCCCAAATCAGCATAAAAGTGAATGTGCTTATAAACTGATAAAGTAAAAATCTGAGATTTGTTTAAACGTAGAATGTCTTTAGTGGAAGTTGGATAGTATTGTGGGAAAAACAAATCAAATACCTAAAATACTGAACTCTAAGCATCCTGAGAATCTGCAGTGTAAGGAAACAATGATGGAATATTTGGATTCCAATGGTCTACTGTATGTGTAAATGCTTCTTGCAGACATTTCACCTTGTGTTTGATTCTAGAAGTTACAATGAAGAAAAATGAACTTATTGAAATATTAATACGTTAATTAACTTGCCCACTTATAATCTTGGGAAGTATCCAACAATTCGTCGAAAATACAAATCCTTGAAAATACAATTGCCTAAAGGATGGGATACTACTATAAAAGGATTGTTGTATATTTTCTCTAAAGGAGAATTTAATTTAACACAAAGAACTAGTCACTCAATTTTCCATCTAACAGTCTACCATCTACTACACTGTGTTCAATAAATAAATAGAAAATAGTAAATTCATTGTAGGTAGTGGTTCTAATGGATATTTATAGTTGCTTGTGAAGTATTTAAAATGTCAAGAGTCAACATTTCAACATGTACTTAAGATTAACAAGCTGAATAAAGCATGTTAAAAATAATAAACTTGACTTTATAAACTCTTTATATAAAATAAAACAGAAACAATCTAGATATAAAAAGCAATCCTGGGAAAATTAAGGTACTCTATCTTAAAGCAAAATCCCAAGGATAAAAGGTTTGTTGTCAAGCAAATAGGATTTTAAAAATGTAATAAAATACAATCACCCTCACAAATTTCAGCAGTTCTTTAATTTCATGTATATAGTATTAGAATTATTCTTCAAAGTTAATTCGCAAAAGATTTTAGGAATATAAAAATTATGCCTACCATATGAATTTGTACCTTTTCTCTCCTACAAAATATATAGGATAAAGTATTTCTTTCTCTCTATGAAAAATTGTTAGGACAATAATTTCAGGCCTTTATAGTCAGGGTAATTGTTGTTAAAGATGCTAGTATCTAATATGTTTAACTAATTAAAGTGTGTGTGTATGTACATAAATGTATGTAGGTGTGCGTTCTCATTCCTGACTTTTAGCTCCAGCAGAACACCAAGAGTTCAGAAAGAGCAGCTTGGAATTCCAACTTTCCTTCATTTAATTTTTGTTCTAAGCATTATTATAGGAAACTCTATAGAATTTCCTAGAAATACAAAAAGAAAATGAGCTACCTAAAACCTTACTGTATACACATAATTTTAATGTTTTCTAAAGATTCATTTCACTGGTTAAACTCACTACAGCTTTATAGCTTGCTTTTTCTTGCATGTAATACTGATTGAAAAAACTTAAAATACACATTTTAAACTAAACTGAAACTGAGTTCCTTCCATGTGTGTGTATTTACACCATATTTAACAGTTGTATAATGTTCAGTTTTAGGAACAGATTGCAATTCTTTTTAACTATTCCCTTCCCTCATGGTACCTACTTAGATCATAATGTAACTAACTCAAGTCTGGTCCTAGAAGCCCTTGCTCCTTCCTAAGTCAAAGGTATGAATATATTCTCATATTGTCAAAATGCTGATAATTTATTTATGTAATCTGTAGGAATATTTACATCCTAGATCAAAAGTCACACCTAAATTATAACAGTATTTTCTCTTAACAAGTTAACACCACCTAGTGGACACAAAAGGAATCTCATCATAATACAAAGTTCTTGACTAATTCAAAAGCCTTGGGTTCTAATCTCATGCTACATTAGCCAGTAATCTCTTCGAAGTTTAGTGTTCTCACTTCTGGAATGATAATAATTATATCCAATTCTGTTTGCTGTTAGGCTCACATGAAGAGCACCTTAAATTAATACTGAAATAGAGATATTAGTACAAAAATCAATATAAAATCATTGGGCAGAAATTTCTGTTTAAATAATATAAAAGGGTGATGAAGCAGAGAGCAGACAGAACTGGTAAAAAGCAAGTACATGGGAGAAAGTTCCCTACAAGGCTCCATGTGGCGAATAGTTTGTGTTTAGTTACCATGGGGTTAGAGTATAAAGAGTACAAAATAACAGCAAGAAAATAGATTTTTAACATGAGTCTAAGTATTTCACATAAATGAATTTGACTGTCCAACTCCCATTAGGTAGGGGATAATTATCATCCCAGACACAGGGGATAAAGGAAATGCTCTTCTGACAAAGTTGCAAATCTACAGTTAAGACTTTGGTTGGATTTTGAACCTCAATTCTCTGGATCTCAGACTTCTTAGCTAGGATGATAGGTGTAAGCCTGGTGGCTTGAATTCTATTAATATTTGAAATCCGAGTTCTAATTAAATACCTGACTTGGGTATTTTGCACCAATTATATGAATATTATACCCATAGAATAGGATAAAAAGGGACCAAAGATTATTTTAGAAGAGGATTGACTGAAAAAATATCTAATAAGCATCATCTCCTTCCTCTCCCCCCAAAAAGATAGTGTAGTATTATCGCTACTTTACAGTTTATGCAGCAGGAGTAATGAAACAATGTCCAGCTAGGAGGTAGCAGACTTCAGATTTGAGCCCATTAATGTTCTCACTATAAGCCACGGTCCCTTGGCCTGCCTATAAGAGTAAACAAGTACCTCCTAGTCAGACAACAAACTTTCTGTCATAGCAGCTCATTTCCAGTAAGATCAAAACCAGGCTTATTATTTGTCTTTCTATGTTACTTCCCTTATCATTCTCTATACTTAAATTTCTAAGTAAAACTGTAATAATTTGCATCTCCAATGCCACTGCCTCTGTGCTAGTATATCCTCTCTTACTGTCCCAAGTAAAAATAAATCTCTCCTCCTCTACAGTACATGTTAATCACTTAAATCATTAATTCACTTCCCAGGTTATGTTATTCATTACGAATCTCCAGAGCTTTGTGTCAGACTTTGTGACAGGGAAATAAAAAGGGAAATATGTGGTCATCTCTTTGCAGAGCTATCGGTAATAGAGTGTCATTGTACTTATCCAAGCCCAGAAGGATTGCAGTTTTAATTTCAAGCACTTTATGGCTACTCCAGCTTATAAGAAATTTGTGAGATGGATCTTGTTTTATTTTTCTATGTCTTCCTTTGAGCATAGAAAACACTTTGTACTGCAGAAATAGAGAAATATTTGCTGCTCAGTGCTGGAGGCTCAAAGACCTTCAATCCTAGCTACTCAGGAGGTTGAGATCTAAGGATTACTGTTCAAAGCCAGCCCAGGCAGGAAAGTCAGAATGACAGAGAGCCAGACTTGACCAAAAACAAAAACATACAAACAAACAAAAGCCCAAACAGTGCAGGGACAGAACCCAGGGCTTAAGTTCAAGCTCTAGGACCAGCGCGCACGCACACGCATGCACACACACACACACACACACACACACACACACACACACATGAGACAAGAAGTATTTGCTAAAGATTGAATGGTGAAATCTTGTGTACATTTCAAATTCTATCTTCTGTTTCACAGGCTGAGCTTAGAGTTCCTTTCCTGTGTTCTTCCTAGTACTCTCAAAGTACTCCATGGATATCTGACTAGAGTTATACAGTTATGTTAAACACAGAAAGAGATAAACAGAGATGAGGAAACAGACAAGAACGTGGTATCACTAAGTTAAAAGCCATGCTGTTTTTAACTACAGTAGAAATCACAGCTAATAAAGAAAACAATGGCCTTTATCTGTTAGTACATCTGTATATAAATCAATGGGCAGCACAGTATTTCAGTGAACACAAATTTCATAGTTTGATTATTAATTGAATTTACCCAAATACTATCTGTACAAAATTTCCAATTGTATTTCAACATTAAACAGAATTTGTAATTTCTTTATGCAATACAACTATTAAAATAGTTACACGGGGGATAACCCTTTCACCAGAACATGCTCTATACTGCTCACATTTCATATGCTTCTTCTTACTCCTATGATAAATTAGAGGAATCGATTATATTAATTTGTATATTTGATAGAGGAGAAGGTAATTAAGTAGAATAAAGACCTGTAGAATAAAGTAGAATAAAGGACTAACTGAAAATATATTAACAGAAGAGTACAAATATTTCAATTTGTAATAGTTACTCCGAAAAGTAAAGCTTTTATAAATTTGATAGAAATGGTGACCATGTATTCAATTAAATCAGGGCAGCAATAATTTAATCTTATATTCATAAAACTTAAAATAGTTAAAAAAAACCTGAAATGAACGTCAGCTAAAAATTAAACTACAAAGACAATTTCAATTGTCCTTAAAAATGGTAAAATAGCTAGTATGGTAGCACATGTCTGAAATCCCAGCAATATGAACACAAGGATCATAAATTGGAAAACAGTCTAGGCTATATATTTTTTCAAAAAAAGAGAAGAGATGTAAAATATGCTATTATTCAAAAATGAGCTTTCTGACTACAATCATTTTAAAACCCTATGTAGTTCATTTAAAACTATGAATGTAAATTGATATAAAGACCTCTAAACAATGTGAAATGTATATAGATGTATAGAATGAGATAAAAGTAGAAAAATTAAATAACAAATATATAAAGGCCTTACCTAATATTATCCTGTTCTTTTTGATGCCACTTTTTACTTCATTATTAATCAGATCAGTAAGCACCTGACTTGTTGCATTGATTGATTCAAGGTGTTCCGGGCAGTCAAGAGCTATTCTAATTCTGTCAAACCACACATTAGAGATTCCTCCTTTCAAAGGGGTATATGGCCTGTTTAAAACAAAGGAAGAGGGACAAAAACAACAGATGATATTAAAATAGTAGCTGTAATTTCCACAAGATTAGGGTATGGAACAATCTTAATTTTCTGAGTTTTGTTAATCAAATGAAAGATGACCCAATGCACATGGCACTGAAGTTCCTATACTTACACTGAGCCTACTAAAACTTACTAAAGCAAATTCAGCACTATTAGTTACCTATCCATCTTTAAAAGGTAGGAGAAGTATAGTCCTAATATATCTTAACTCATTATAATCCTTTGTAATAATAACACTGTATCTGTGTCTGTTATATAATTATCAATGCATTAAACCTATTGTTTTAAGTAATTACAGTAGAGTTAAGGGGTTCAAATCCAGTACTGGGAAAGGTAAATAAAAGAGGAATAACAGGATCCACAGAGATCTCTGCAGGCATTTACAAGAGATACAGGGGGATATACTTGAGAACAAAAATTTCGACAAGGAACAGGAGCACTTGACCAAAGCTGCTGCTGATCATGTGGTAAATCCTAATTTCTTTTTACTTAGTTGTGAAGAAGGTATTCATTTTATACACAAGGAAAGATAGCCAGTGATGAAAAACCCACAATGACTGAATGGCATCTGTAACGATGATGATTTCTCTTTGATCACCATAGATACAGATTCCTCCTACAGCTATACCTCCGTGCCATCTCAGATTTAGATATACATTCTCTCCTCCAGTCACTGAAGTAGAAGTATAAAGCAACCAACCAAAAGAAAAAAAGAAAAAGAAAAGAAAAAATATGTATTTTTATTACCACAATCTTTAAGAAGAGTGGCATTGTGCTAAAAGGAAGAGGGGAAGCACTCCGTTTTTCTGTACCAAATCTACCACTCCAAAACAAACTGACATCCTCACTGGGAGCCTGGTGAAAAGAGTATTTGCAAAGATTCTTAGCACCACCAAAGGTGCTCAGACTGAAATTTAACAAAAATCCCACACTCTTCAAACAATCCCATATTTACTCAAGTAATCATGTAACAAACATTGTTTTGCAACAAACATTCTAAACTTTGAATACATTTACTGAATATTTGTTTATGTCAGTCATACAAAGCCAGATTTTTTTCCTTTAAAAGTGCTTTTTCCCTATCATATATACACACAAAAATTTACAAATATAGTATACCTTATATATAATGTATATGTAATAATCATACACATTTATTCACACATGCTTTGAATATTTTTGTTGTTGTTGGTAGCACTAGGAACAGAACTGGGGGACCCAGGATTCTAGTGCTCTAACACTTGAACCAGCAGCTCTTTTTTAGTGGTTTTTTTCAGGACCAGCCTGGACATTTGATTCTCCCATTATGCAAGCTCAATTAATTTGGTGAGATTGTGTGAGAGACGCCTAAGGTCTCTCACTAGCATTTTGCTCTGGGTGGCCCTCCCAATAATCACAAATGAGTAGCTGAGAATATTGATGTGGGCCACCATACCCTGGCTTGATGTTTAAAATATCTACCATCTGCTCATCTCTTCATCTTTTCCCTTCTCTCTCTTATGTGTCTTTTCTTCAATACTATTCCATGGTAATAATCTGGAAACACTTCCTTCAATTTTTACTAACTTTTTACTGAAACATACATTTATAAAGCGTTTGGACACTGCTGTTATACAATAATGAAATATGCCTACCTGTCTTTGTTTTATGTGTTGTACACTTTCTTTTCCTTTAACAACACCTCACAGAAATCCATCCATCTGATATAACTTGTACCAATCTTCTAAGCAGTTATGTTGTTCTCTAAAAGTATGATGTTCTACAATTTAATCAGCCATCTTACTCACTGGCCATTTATTTGGTTACCCACATGATAGATACTAAGAAGAATGTTACATTAAACACATATACACATACATTTTTATGTAGTGAGATTTTTATTCTTAATGGAGCTCACCATCTCACTGAAGTAAGGCCAAATAAATAGGCCTGCCAGATCAAAAGTACACATTACATTTCTATATGATAGATTTTTTTCAAAATTGCTTTCTTAAGGGAGGTTACAATTTACTTTCTACTAGAAAGGTAAAATTATCCTTTTTCCCGTAGTACCTACTACAGTAGATACAAAGCAAGCACAATTTGCATATTGATTCAGAACGTACCCTGTCCTCAGAAAATTGTATCAGGTACCTTTGTAGGCAATTCCCACATGTTTCTGAGTGATTACTGCCTAATCCAAAGTTACACACAAGTGACAACTGTGGCTGATGTTATTTGCTATCATGTTCCATTGGGGTTTTAATTTTTTCTTGTTAGTTCAGAAGAGCACTTGGTCTATATTGACAAGTATCTGCCTTCTGTTTTTCAACCATTTTTGTAAGTTTATTTTTAATATTATGAATTTAATATTTTTAACCAAATAAAAGATTTTACATTTGCTATAATATTTTTAAACTAAATTTCAGATTCTCCTGATTTGTTTTTCCTAACCCATAGGTTTGACTACATAAAATCTCATATAAACTAAGAGCTTTGTTTGTATTTTAACTTTTAAATCTTAAATCCAAGAGGAACTTATTCTTATATATAGAGTGGTTTTAGTGAATATTTTGAAGTGGTATGAGGTAAGTCCTTCTCCTCCTACCTTTCTGTATTGTTTTAATTTCATCCTGTTATTAGGTATTCAGTGTTCCTAATTTATTGAAGAAATTAATCAAAACATTCAGTAGATTTTAAAAGTACTTACTTGGAAATACTTTTAAAATGTCAATTAATTTGGCATTATCGACTGAGAATTAATGCTTGGATAAATCCTGAGGGAAAGACAGGCTTTTGTAGGCTGAATTCTCCATCCTCTACCTTTACTGCTCTTCTCCTAGGTTCTCAACTGGTGTGAAACAGAAAATCCTGCAGCAGGTCTCTATCAGGCAGCCTAAATTCTCCCTGGTTGCCACAAGTGTTCTGACCCTCAAGGGACTGGCTCAAGATAGAAGATAAATTGGAGAAAAGGTAGAAAATATTCAAACCTTTCTCTTCCCAGAAACCACCTCAGGTTTTAACTTTCTTAAAAGGACCCTGAAAATGGAAGCAATTGCTTTCCACACAGTCATTATCAGACAAAATGAACCCACAAATTATATTCAGATTGTCACTAATATATCTGAAGTTTTAAATCAAAATTGAATATACAACACTCACTCCAAAGTTCAAAGTAGACTGTTACCTATTTGAATTCTTGCTAGTTCCCTTTCCATTTTATTCTGCTATTCCTCAAAGTGTTTATTTGTCTGTCTAAGCACTTAAATAAGGATGATATCATAGGCTAACATGTGAATCATGCTGGGACTTCAGCCATAAATGGAAAAAATGACACTTACCTAAGGTTCTTTTCCTTTGACAATGCCTTACTTAATTAGATAGATGATCCAGGCATCTAGGATCCCAATGAAGTAGTTTACTAATCTGGGAGGTATTTATTATTCTTTAGTTTCTTCAAGAAAATTAAATTTTACAATCAAAAGGAATAATTGGAAAAATGTAATGGGACAAAGTACTTTAGAACTATTTTTTGTTAAAAAAACAATCACAATGTATAAGTCTCTAAAGATGTTAGAATAACTTTTAAATAAAGAATAAAAGATTGTTTTTTAAACAACTAAAACATTTGGCACGTATGTTTTGCTCATTCACCTTTTCCTCAAATAAATCACTTTATTAGCTGGTATAAAACAGCTCAGACATTACCACAATAAATAAATATGTTTGCAAAGAACATCTGTGTAGTTCCTAAGTCAATCAATCAACCCATTACAGCCTGGCAAAATATCAAGCAAGAAGAAAATGTCCAAAGTACTTGAACAGTAAGAAGTTTCATTCCAAGTTTTGTTTTGAACTGTATTTCTCTAAAGTCATGAAATCAGAAGTCATTCACAGCTCATAAGATAACCACCTGGATTCCTCCTCAGTCTCCATTTCCTACCACCTCCTCCAGCACCCTCTGTGCCCCAGTCCTATTTGTCTACAGCTTCACTAGTAATGTAGGAGCTTTGCATCTGCTTTCCCTCTACTGGAATGCACTTTACCACCTAACTGCAAGGTGAGCTCCCACGGATCATTTAGGTTTTCAACTCATATATCACTTCTGCAGGGCATTCCTTTGACTCTCCAACTTCCACATCTATCTGCAATACACACAAAGACCTCATCCTATACCTCACTTAACTGTCTTAATGACATTTATCATCATTTGAAAATACAGCACTGTACATAATTATTTGAGACTTTAAATTTTCTTTTCCTCTTCAACCTCATACCTATTTGTATTCAGCTGTATTTCAACCAAAACAAAAAGTAACAGAACAAATTCAGCAGCATATATCAGAATTGAATTGTTTTCTATTAAACTAGATTCTAAATAGATTTTTTTTAATGATGCAACATGATTCAGTTTTAGTTACATTATTTATTTTTTTGAGTCATGGGGCTTCAACTCTGGATCTGGGTGCTGTCTCTAAACTCTTCATCTCAAGGCGAGTGCTCTACCACCTGAGCCACAGTGCCACTTCCAGTTTTCTGGTGGTTAATTGGAGATAAGAGTCTCACGGACTTTCTTGCCTGGGCTGGCTTTGAACCATGATCCTTAAATCTCTGCCTCTCCTGAGTAGCTAGGATTATAGGTGTGAGCCACCTGCATCCAGCTGGTTACATTATTTTTATAACAGAAAACTCAACTGTTTTCATTAAATGTGTACTTATATTTAAAAAGTAATGTATCTAGTTTTGTCATTTTAAAGAAAATTGTATTTTATTGTATTTTATTTATATTTATTTTTTATTTTCTATCTCTGCTTGAGCTCTCTCATAGCAAAGACTTTTTTTTTCTCCACAAGGGGCTCAGAACAAAGTTTGGTATATAGTAGATACATGCTACATAAGCATTTGCTGAATGGCAAATGTCAATAATCATTGGTGTCACTTGAGAATGATCTATGTCAGCTAGAAATAGAATGTCTAAAATCGTTTCATTTGTGTTCTGGATATCCTTTGACTTAAAACTTTTATATTTTCTAGAAAATGGTCAAGTTTTTCTTTTTCTTTAAAAACCTAACTGAATGAAAGCACATGCTTCTAAAAAAAAGTCATATGCGCTAATAGGTATTTAAATATTCTATTTAAAATATTTACCAGAGATGTACACTATGTCTCCAAAGTAGCTATTTACTCTTTAGTGGAGTTCCTGACAAATGCGCTGATGGCATAAAGTTGGTATCAGGTGAAGGATCTCTGGATATGCTTCAAAATGAATTCTAGGTGATGAAGGGAAGACAAATCCTTGTTACTATGCCTCAATCAAATGTGCCTAAGATATTTAACAACACATATTTGATAAAAATATAAACGTGCACTTTATTTGGAAAAATTGCAAACCCAAAGAGTGGTGGCACCACACAAGTCTTAGTCCTTTTATAACTTTCCAAAAACCAAGGGAAACTATATCATCATATAAAGAATAAATAGCTTGTTAAAAATTATTTAAATATGAATTCTAGTGTAGTAAGCCCAAACTAAGAAAACAACCTCTTACTGCAAGTGAAGCAAAAATATATCACAGAAATGAAAGTCTTTATTCAGTATTTCAATAAAGGAATCTCAAATAAATATAATGAAAAAAATACCACAATGGTCTCCATTTTAATTAATACAGCAAACTAATTGTTGAACTTAACTTGCTCACATTAAGCTGATTTAAAATGTCTATTAAATATAGTTGAGGAAAAGGATTATTTATGACCAAAAGGGTAACTCAGAATTTAATCACAACAATAAGCTATTATAGACCACAAGTAAGTAAACACAATAGACTATTATTTTCCTCTTGCATTCTTTAAAATGGCATGACAATTTAAAACATAATTACATTTAACCTTGTTTGATGGGTTTTCAACATATGTTGATGAAGTATATATGACAATTAAAATATGACATAATTTGTGGTTCTATAGTTACCTCTTAAGACAGAAAGACTTGCTTTGTATAATGCACCCTAGCACAATCAGGAAAAAAAAAGAATAGGTAACAAACTGAAGTATTAAAAAGTTCATATAACTTAAAAAAGGAGGAAGCAGAGTGTAAAGTAGGAGACCTAAATTCAAACATATTAATTCAGTGCTACACAAAATTTAAGGGACTTAAACAAATCATTCAAAAGGTAGAACTGTCAGGTTGGTTAAAAATAAATAAATAAAGCCTACTATGTGTTGTATATAGGAAACATTTTTAAACACGATTGATAGAAATTAGGTTATAAAAAACAGGCTACACAAAGAATTCCTATGTAATACTAATCATAATACACCAAAATGAGAGGAAAAGTATAAAATACACACAGAAAGCAGATGTACACTTTAATTACCATTGTGTAAGATAAAAGTAGGTATTAGTACAGGAAAAATAATTACACAAGAGTATGTGTCTAATAATATATGCCTAATAATATTAGTAGAAATAAAAGAAAGACAAATTAGTCTACAACTGTAGTTGGAGATTTAACATCCTTTCCCTTGGTAAATAATAGAACCACTAAAAAAAATCACTAAACAGACAAAATTTGAAGAATATTAACTACCTGCAATGATTCTACTTTTATAGAACTTTATACAAAAAATATATAGGAGTCTCCTACACAGACCAGATGCAAAGCCATAAAATAAATCCCAGTGAGTATCACAGCTCAAATAGTGCAACACACACACACACACACACACACACACACACACACACAGAGCTACGAAACTACTAACACCATCTCTTAATACAGCTTCCTCATTCTCTTGAGGTCATCTGCTTTTCCAACCCTAACTCCATTCTACCAGGAAGCACAAGCATCCACATGGTAGAGTTTCACATAGGTGTTACAGTAACAAGACACAAGGAAAGTGTTCAGCTAGTACTATCCAGCTCTAGCTGCCAGATAATGTGAGTAAGCCTCTGTGATGGCTCCAGGCCCCAGCAGTCATGAGTCACACCCAGCCTTCAAGGTTTCCCAGGAGAGGCCCGAAAAACAACAGAACACAACTGACTCACCACTATTGTACCCTTTCTGAATTCCTACCCCACAAAATTTGTGACCATCATGAAACTGTTGATTGCAGTAGTTTCTTAAAAAAATAACACTGGGAGTATGAAGGGAACACAAAGAATTAAAATATTAATAATAAAGACTATAGATAGCTGAAGTAGTGATTAGCAAGAAATATGTAGTTTTAAGAAAAATACAAGGAAATAAGGACTATAAGATTAGTACAAATGAAGCAGAAAACTACAAGAAAATAGCAAAGTCTAAGTTAGTTGGATAAAAGAGAGGAATAACCCTGATAACTCTTTAGGGCAAGCAGAACCAAGAAAAAAAAGAAAGCAAATAGAAAAACTAATAATGAAAATGAATAAAAGAATCAATATAATCCATGAAAGCACTAAAATACAAAAAACTTTGTCAATAAATCTGACAAATTACACAAAAGATAAAAATTAGAAAAGAACCATACCTTATTAATACTGACCCCAAAACAAAGTAAGTCTGAATAGGTTGTGTTTTGGTATTTTCTTGTTGCTGTTCTGGTCCAGGTACTGGGACTTGAAGTTGGGGTGTTGAGCTCTTACTTATTGTTTTTATTCACAGCTGGTATTCTATCACTTGAGTTAAACCTCAAGTGGAAACTTAGACTATACTTAAAAAATGGTAATTTGGTGAGTAACAGTAGCTCTCTACATACTCTATGGGAATATATGCTGTTCAAAATGGCAGCCTCTGGCTAATGCAACTATGGACTGAATTACTAATACTAATTTAAATTTAATCAATTAAATAGTATATAAATTGAGGTATGATTTACATGTTGCACAAATATTTCACTTTAATGCTTATTTTGGATGTATGCTGAAAAATATTTTGAATATACTAGGTTAAATAAATGATGAACTTGAATTTTATCTGATTCACCCTTTTAAATGTGGTATCAAGAAAATTTACATTTATATATGTAGTTCATATTACATTTCTGTTAGTGTAGTCCAAATACCCGGTTAGATGTCCAAATAGTATTGATTAGGAAAATGTAATAATAAGTTATTAAGAATTCAAATGAATCATTTCAATGATAATATATTTGACTAGATCACAGTGGAATCCACAAATACTTAATATACAGGAGAATATTCAGACTCTGCAACATGTCCAATCTGAAGTTTGATAAAGGCAAATGTAGAATTCATATCACAATTGCTGATAACATACAAAATTCCAATAATATTAATTCCCCAAATCATTTCTAATGGTATTCTTATATGCAATAGTATAATTACATTTATACTTAGATTAAAATATGTATATCTTTCTCATCACCATAGAAATATCAGTATTCCTTCCAAATATTACTTATTGTAAACAATTTCAATGATATTCAACTAATAACACAAAAAGCAATCCAGGTCAACAGGCCTTGTGTTGAACCACAAAACTTCCAAAGTCTTTTTGTATTAAAACAATATTTTTTTTGCCTCTTTAAATCCTATATTATCATTTTTGTGCTATTTCTTTAAAGGCTTTCAATGAAGTAAATTCTTTTTTAAAATGATTTTCTTATTATCATTAAGCAGTTGTAAAAGGGTGTTTCAATTCAACATGTCAGTTTATTATTACCATGCATCTTGACCAATGTTAACCTATCATCATATTATCAAATTTAAAAAAGACTTTGAAATTCTGGTTCTTTTTCTCCTTGACACTAAGTGAATAGAAAAATAAAACTTTCTGACTTTCCAAGTTTTCTAGTCTTATTATTACCATGAAATTTAAAAAACATACCTATAAATCTAAATATTTGTTAAATACCCAACTGCACATTCCTGGTTTACCTATTCAAAAACACAACATTATTTCTAAATAACCTTTTTAAATGTAGAAAGGATGTCATAAACTTCTCTTCCATATATTCTGAATTGTATTAACTGAATTATTAGAAAGACTTTTGCTGACAAGGTTTTGTTTTGAGGTGGTTGAGAAGAGAGGGTTTGAACAATGAGCAATATGCAGGGCAAGAAGAAGCAGAGTCTAGCAGGCTACGTTGGGATACAGTATAAATCTAGGGCTGTACAGTATGTTTAGCAGAGAAAAATTATTCACTTGGCAAAACTTGGCCCAAGAATTGAACTGAAAAATAAAGAATACATTCTAAACATCTGGCTGGCACACCTACATATATTTTTTTGCCACAGGGTCATCTTGAAAGTGAGATAAATGACTACATACCTGGGAGGAGCCGTTGGATAAATAACTTTTATGTGATGGAATGCTAAATCTTTATTTAAAACCTGTTTGATCCACTTTCTAAATCCTGGTCCAGAATCACCTGATGAATCACAAAATCTATAGTAAGATAAACATGTTAATAATGTAGTGCATTTAAAAGCAGTCTATAACTTAAGTAAGCAGTCTATAACTTTCAAGTAAAACAAAGGCTGGGATCAGGAATTCTTAAATCTCCATAGAAAAAAAAATCCCTGTTTGGAACATAATTTTTCATGCTTGATCAGACATCAACAGTACACTTTTAATTACAACAGTTTCAACTTTCTTTAAACTTGAATTTTAGGTTTCCTCATTTTAAATGGGTATAACAATCAACAAACTGATTTTTCTAAAAAAGGGAATTTTTCCCCTTACCTAGCTCTTAATTTTTTCTTATCTTAAATAATAAAGTTCCTAATGCGATTGTTACACTTTTTTTTTTCTTTTTTTTTTTGTCAGTCGTGGGGCTTTAACTCTGGGCCTGGGCACTGTCCCTCAGCTCTTCGACTCAAGGCAGGCACTCTACTACTTGAGCCACAGTGCCACTTCTGGTTTTTCTCGTGGTTTATTGGAGATAAGAGTCTCATGGACTTTTCTGCCCACACTGGCTTTGAATTGCGATTCTCAGACCTCAGCCTCCTAAGCAGCTACAATTACAGGCATGAGCCACTGGCGCCCTGCTCCTTACACTTTTATAGTTAGCCCAGCCTAATTCATTTTCTTAGTTAAAATAACACCCCTCTAAGGGAGTAATCCATGTCCTTTTATTTTCAATTTGAAGAAAGCAGAATTTAATTGACATGTTGTCTGAAAAATAATCAAAATTCATGCAAGACTATAACAATATTTGTTCACAGAAAAAGAAAGTAAATAGGTTGATCTTATGTGGTAGTAAAGAAGAAATTTTAAATGTCACAACTCTTTTAATTAATTGAGTCATTACAACATCAATTCATGAATTTTCTATTGAGTAACTTAATGTGCAGGTACTGTGTTCACTGCTGGCATAGCAATCATGGGAAATATTGGTTTATTATAATACACAGTAATTAGCCAACTAATCACAAAATAATGTGAAAGACAAATATAACCACTGCAGAGGGTTTACTCTATTCAGAATGAATCTAGTTAAGGAGTACATAGACAAGTTCACTAGGTATAAACTTTCCAAGGCAAGGTTCATTTTGTTTTATCCATGAAGCTATGGTTTCTACTGTCTGGAACAGTAATGACACAACCAGGACATCCAAAAGAGTTGCTGAATTATATGAACTTCAATCTAGAGGATGGTGAGAAGTACAGAAGGAAAAAAAAAATGAGGCTGAGGACAGGTAAAATGCTAAGGATCCAAGACAGAAAGGATCCGGAAAGAAGAGACAGGAGAATAACTAAGTAAAGAATGAAAGCCAAAAGAACAGTTGTTTTGCTCAAATTCAAGGAAGAAGAAGGTTTAATGGAAAAATGTCTAGACTTATCAACACAGAGGTTACTGGAGACTGCAGCAAGATCAACTTAAGTCAACTCATGAACTCTTATTATGTGGGAAGAAATATCTCAACGAGACACACATGGTTGGGACCTTCTTGAACCTTCTGATTTAGTATGGAATGCAGACCCTAAATTAAGTAATTACAAGTATGATGATTATGACTGAGAACCATGGGATCTCAGAGGAGCAAATTAGCAAAGTGTATTAACCTAATCTGGCAGACTGAAAAAAGTATGAAAGACTCAAATTAAGTTGGCAATGTATACCTTTCATGCTGCATGCTATTCTACAGCTATGTTCTAGGAAATTTTTCTTGTAAGATACTTGTGTGATTTTTTTTTTAATGGAAGAGCTGTTTCTAGTAGATTTTTTTCAATCTTGAAAAAAAAAACCTGATTACTACATGAAACAACATTCACAAAGCTGACTTTTTTAAATGCCAGCACTTTATTCCAAGAATATGATACACTATTATAACTACTTTGTCCCTACTTGGATTAACCAGAAAATATTCTATAATAGAGACATATACATCAAAGCCTAATGTAAAGTCATTGGCCTCTAACCTAAATGATAAAGGCCTATTCCTGAGGTAAGACTTTTCTATACCTCAGTGGAGATTTAAATATATAAGAATCACACTGTAATTGCTGTCCAAATTACTGAAATATATATGCACATATATGTATATGTGTATGTATGTATAATAGTATGTATATAATAGTATATATTCATTAGCTATGATATGCACATATATTTGTATTTATAATGAAATAGGAATTATTTCTATGAAATATGCTGATATGATTTATTATATATTTATAAGTATATAAATGTGCACATATATATATTATATATACATATGTGCATATATGTATATTTACAATACATGACTGTGGGTTTCAAAGACATGTATTAAATGTTATAAAAATGCCAGTAATTTGAAAGGGACAAATATAGATAAACCACAATACCGGGGGGGGGGGGGGGGGGGGGGGGGGGGGGGGGGGGGGGGGGGGGGGGGGGGGGAGGTGTTGGAATAACAAAATCTGGAAGATATTTATAAGACATTGTGAATTAGTTACCTTATTATGAGAGGAATATAGTATGGAGAACAGATGAGTACCTATTTTGGGACCTGCAACAGAAGACCAGTCTCCTAGTTGTATTGCCGTGATCTTAGACATCTTATGTTCTAAATTGACTTCACCAGTAAAGTCTTTTCCCTTTAAACATCAATTCATCTTGGCTTAGGGCTTTTCACACATCCTCACCCCTAAATGCTGATTTGGGAGTTGTAAAGCTTTGGGCTCAAATGCTGACTTTGGTCAGAAAGCTTTGGGTTCAAATCCCAATTTCACTACCACTTACACTGGGCCTAGTGGTTGAACCACCACTCCCCATGCTCTGTTCTCATCCCTGTGTCCTTCCAATCAGCATCACATGTAAACCTTCACATGTCTTAGCTGAAACTTCCTTGGAAAAATCTGACACAGTCTTCATCTTCCAAATGACTTAAAGCCTAACCACAGTTTTGTCTTTCCTTACAATTCATTTGGCAGTAAATCGTGTACCATCTTGTGATCTCCCATGAACTGCTGACTCAAATTAATTGAACTGTTTTTGTTTCTGAAAATTAGGTAGGCTCCCTAAGGACACAGGCTGCATCTCATTTCTTAAGAAATAAAAATTAAAAATTCCTGAGAACTTACCCTGGGCCAAACACTGTTGATGAATGGATTTAAAAAAGGGTCCTTCCAGGGGACTCCCTCACCATCCAGTGGGGGAGAAAGACATGATCACAGATAGGAGAGAGAGAAAAAATAAGTTATAAAGAAAAAGAATGAAAAGAATGAAGGGCAGGCAGAGGGTGGGCAAGACCTGACCCTGGGTCTCAGAGCTGACTCTGTGCTTAAGGGACAGAGGGAGAAACGAGAAAACAGGAAAGCGGAGCCTAGAGAAAGGCGAAAAGCACACCGGCCCTGGCACCACGGGGCCACAGGGAAAGGAGATACGTGATCAAAAGGAGATACGTGTGAATCTCAGTTGCCTACTGGAGCCTAAGACTGCAGAGAGAAAACAGTGGCAAATAATCCGTTGCAAAAAAAAAAATAAAAGAAACCACGAATGTCTGGACCCCTGAACAGTACTCAAATGATAATCGACTGCCCCTAGCAGAACAACTTACCTCACTAAACATCGTGTTAGAACCTGGACGGGGAGTGGGGGGGTGGGGGGGTGGCAGGGAGTAGGCATGGCAAGGGCTTCCATTGGAATGTAATGGAAGGAATACTGGCCAGGACATAATGGCCAGAATCCAGACGATAATGGTCCAATGACCAAGGAGAGAGGGGAGAGGAGAAGGGGAGGGGAAAGAGGACAGGGAGCAGAGGGAGGGAGATGGGAGGGAGGGGGGGAGAGAGAGAGAGGGAGGGAGGGAGAGAGGGACAGACAGAGACAGAGAAAGAGACAAGGGGGCCATGGGGGGAGGGGGTGCACACTCTCCCTCACCCTGGGGCCCTCCACTGGGAAACACTGGGGTGGCTAACCACCGACAGGAGAACGGGCCCCAAGCTGCCGCGACAACAACAACAAGGACGTAGAGCTTCAATCCACCTGAGCCATGCAGGAAGATCAGCGAGGCGCTGTGCCTTCCAAGGGGCGACACAATACTGGTCTCCAGGGGCACTAGGCCCGCGGCCGCCGCCATCGCCCAGGCCAGGACCGGAGTCCCGCCTCTTTGCCGTGTCGGGGCCGCGCACGCACGCACGCACGCACGCACACACGCAAGCTGGCTGGCACTTTCAAAGGCACGCGAGCGCGCCTGCCCCCCCCCCCGCGCATGCGCGGAGCTAGCGAGGGCGCCTGCAACTTCTTGAATCCTTGGGGTGAAATGTGAGGCGGTATTGCTGTCCTGGGAGTTTGATGTGGATGGCACTCCAGAGGTGTCAGCCTCCTGTGATCTGTTATAATGATGAATGGGTATCTTTTATCTCAAGCATTTGCTGTGGAATTTTTAAACACAATTATAAAACTCAGAAGTACCTCCTTCACAGAAATATTTCTGCCAACTGCGTTTAAAATTCAACAGATTGTATTTCACCTACCACTTTGGAACTCACACCAAATGCTTGCAGGGATTTGTACTCAGGGGAAGCCAACTCGACAATAATTGCTCTTTCCTTTTTTTGCTTTTTTACATCTCCCCCAAATAGTTAACAAACTAGATCTACAATGAGATGGAACCTCATATTTATTAAGGTAGCTATTATTTAAAACGTGGAAAATACATATTGGTGAATAGGTAGAAGCAGGAACTTTTGTACTGGTGGGAATATGAAATAATGTGTTATCTGTGATGATTCCTGGAAAAATTAAACACGGGGCTGGATCAAACAATCTGCCTGCAGACATGGCCCCAAAAAATGAAAGCAGGGACTCTTAGTAGGTGCTTGTATACCAATATTCATAGTAGTATTATTCATGATAGTCTAAAGGTGAAAAACCAAAATAGCAACCTACAGATGAATCGATAAAAAAAAATATGGTAAAAATGGGTCATGACTGAGGCTTAAATGGAGTAAAATTCTACATCTTTACTACAGCATAGATCAATACTCAAAAGTTATCAGCTTTCATTATTATTTCATTATTATGCTAGTGAAATAAGCCAGGCACAAAAAGGGCAAATAATGTTTGTTTTCACCACAAAATGAAGTCTGTACAATGGTAAATTCAGAGAGCCTAAGTAGAATAGGGCCCATCAGGGACTAAGCAAGAAAGGGAAATGAGAATTGGTCAGTGCGACGTATCCATTTGGAATAGCGAAAATTTTCTGGAAAAGAACAGTGATTTGGTGGCTGCACATTAAGATACTGCTACTGACCTTTCAGGATCCTTTAGAGGGTAAAATAAATTTTATTACCAAAAATTTAAGGGTATTGAAAAATATTTGTTGTTTTTCATAAATGCCTAAACATAGATAATTTAGCAATGTTAAATTATTAAAACTGTAACTCAAGTAATAGGCTCTTTCCTCAGGGGACAGCCCACAAAACAGCCCAGCCTAACTGAAGCACAGTTAGACATCAGCCTTCCTCCCACAGAATTTAAGCTATTGCAACTTTTATGCGTTTATAGTATTTTGCTGTTCCTGAGTGAATTACAATCAAGAATTAGTTGCCCAGATTCATTCTGGGCTATCATTGTGTTGCACAAATGCTGTGTCATTAACTAGCCAGACAAAAAGAAAGTGATTCATCTCCCTAAAACCCATAGCACTAAAGCAGTGTGTTAAGAGCAAACTTTCTGAGAAGACTAAGTACAGTTTGCCTGAGCTCTCATAACAATATCTTATAAAGCACATTTGTCTCTGCACTTGCCTTTTGCAAAACAGTTCTAGGTAGATTTTAGAGCCAGGTGAGAAGCCATTGGAGTAATATCAGACAATACTCTTAATGGCATTACTTGAAATCCACTCACTGCCACAATATCTTACTCTGCACAACTGTGTTTTTGAGACAAGAAACAAGGAACATAATGATTTCATAATTACTATTACTCTTATTGCAACTATTATTAAGCAGTTGAATTCATGGGACTGTCATAGGTAAGTTCCCATAACATTTTGTATTACTATGATCTACTCTGGGCAAAGAGACTCAATGACTAAGGAACAAGAACATCTTTCTAGTCTTTCCTAGAGCCTGGACTAGTTGGGTTTGATTACAGAGACAAGCTACTTAACTTCTGCTAACATTGATACATTAGATTACAAAATAAATCAAGGGTATATTTCAACTATTTTAAAAAAATATACTTCTGGAATGTGAACTGTAGGATGTTAGAATTCCTGTCCTTCTCTTCCCTCCCTCTTTCCTTCCCTCCTTCTTTCCTTCCCTCCCCTCCCCTTCCTTCTATTTCCCTCCCCTTCCCTTTCCTCCCCTTCCCTTCCCTCTCCTTCCCTTTCCTTTGCCTTTCTTTCTAAATCTCCTGGGTTCCAGTTTGTACCAGCTCTTGAATAAACACTGATCTAAACAAGTAGATCAGAGATAGATACCTGCAGGTTAAGATTTAGGATTTCACCTGGAAATCAACCCTTCCCAGGTTCAGATATAATTAGAATGAATCAGATTCTTGCAGACCCAAAGTGTTCTTTTATTTCCAGTAATTTAAATGCTTAGCTATTGTTGCTATTCCTTTCATCTTTATTTATAGCACAAACAGAAGGTTTTATATTACTATATTTAGAGATGCCATCTGGTAGGCAAACTATTGAAAAAAATGTTTTGTTCCTTTCATGTAACCGTAATACTTGGAAATGTAATTAAATTTCAGGATAGCTGCTTGCCTCTTTTATGACAGATCTTTTGCCCTATTGAATAGGGAATGGGAGGAGAGGATAGAATTATTCATAAAAGGCATATTCATCTGTGTATCTTCTAATTTTACTGTATACACATTTGCTCTTCACCAACCTATGTTAGCATCTGTTACTGATGCATTCTTCTTCTGGTAACCAATTCTAGACTTAAAAAAAGCAAGTAAATAAAGTAAAAGCTATGAATGATCTCTCATTCTCATGGTTTCAGTGTTTATTGGGAGTTAAGTACACACATAGCAAAGTCAGAGTTTAGCCCTCTGTTCTAATGTGAGTTTAAAAGAGTCTTTAGGGCATACTTGGTGGCTTTTAAGAAGCCATTTAGAGTTGAACGTTTGTTATTGAGAATGATAAATGAAATTGCACTAGTCATGCAGACAGTACAGTTATGCTTTTTTCTTTTACCTTCTTAAGCCTCACATATATCTTCTCCATTGTTTAGAGTTTACTGCATTTTTCAGAGAGACAGAGAAACAGACACAATATACACACAGATCACACACAATATCTCAGTGTTATATAACTTAAAAAATAAGTTTACAAAGAAAATCCTGGTACATTCCCTTTATACACTGATGAAAAATCTAGAAGACTTACAGGTCATGAATTTTTATAAATCAGTTAATTTACACATTTAAGATGTGGGTTTATGAAATTTAGTGTACTCATTAGCTTAATCCCAGAATCCTTAATGTTTTGAAGTTCAGATACTTTAAAATCTAGAATTTTACCCTTCTAGATACAGAGGAGAGGGGTTCTTCTATTTCTTTCCATTATTCCTGCTAGCAATGTTTGGTTTCATTTCTTCTTTAGAGCAGATAAGTCAGCTAGGACCTATCTATGTTAGGGACAAGGAACAAATGAATGGCTCAAAGACAGCCTTGGAGCAGTATTAAATCTTACTTTGATGGATTGTTAACAGGCAGCGTGGTTCATATTTATACCTAAGTAATGTCCAGGCTCAGGAGGAGGATGCTGGACGTTCCTGTCTCGAGTAGCAGACTAGATGGTGTATACCAGAGCAACTAAACAATACTCTTCCTTTCTGTACAATAGATTTTGATGGTTTTTCCCCCCCACCCCCAAATCCAAGCATTTTTAGCCATTCTTAAATAAATCTTTTCCCTTAAGGACAGGAAAACTCAATTTTCAACTTTCTCGTGAGATGAGGTAAAGATAGCATATTCTATATGTTTAATAACAAGAAAAAAAGACTATCAATCCAGGCTAAACAATTCTTTTGTATTAACTTTAGAGAAGAGACAATCTATATAAGCATATATGAATATTGAAATATTACAATGGCAAGGAGGAATTTCTGTTGTGCTTCAGGAATGACAAGCTGTGTATTCTTAGACAGGCCAATTGTCCTTACCGTTTCTCTCATTACAAGATAAGAGAGGAAGGTTTAATAACCTTCTAAAATTTATGATTCTAGGATCGTAAAAATTTAAACATGCAATTCTCCTTACTCTTCCTATGATAACTTCTAAACATTAAAAAATATGAGTTATAAAAGAGCCTTTAAAATAGATGATATGAAATCAATTTTTGCAATTTAAAAGAAAGGACTACAATTTGTTTTGAAAGTGGACTATTTTCAGGATGTCTATGTTTGCATATTTGTGTGTGAACAGATTTTGTGAGAAGATATGACAGCAGATTTCTTATTATCATAGCCATGTATTAAGATAATAAAGAAGTTTTGTAAAATTCTCCTTAATTCATTTTCTGAAGTCATGCTTTCCTGAACATACTTTTAAACAATTTACTTGTGAAATGATGGCAAGCTGTCAATTTTCAAGAGCATAGTTTCTTTGTGTAGATTAAACATGGATGCAAATTTGAATATATACAAAAAGAATTGAAAGTAGAGTCGCAAGGAGATGTAAACATTCATACTTATAACAGCACTATCCTTAGAAACCAAGTGGTGTATGTGAGATTTAAAGTGCTATAATAAAATACCTATATAGAGGGGTGTGGTGGTATATGCCTATAATCTTAACTAGTCTTCTAGCTGTTAACAATGCAGAGATTAGCATCGTGGTTCGAAGCCTTGCAAAAAGTAAACAAGGCGTATGTTAAGAAGTCAAGTATGGTAATACACACCTATCATCCCTTCTACACTGGATATAGAAGAATTATGAGTGAAGAAATCCCAGACCAAAAAAGAAAAAAAAACAGATAAGAAAAGAAAGAAAAGAGTGCATGAGATTCTGTCTGAAAAATAAAAATAATATTCTGAAAAATAACTTAAAAATATTATTTTGATTTGGAAGACAAGAAGATTAACTGCTAAAAACTACTGATTTATATCTTGCTTCGCAAAAATGCCACTTATGAAATATATTGGCACTTGCCCC